AGTTTTTGCTTTTCAGTTCTGGAGGAGAGTCTCATTAGGCCCATTTCTTTCATGTTTATTGCTCTACTGATTTTTCTTCTGACTGTTCTTGGCTTAAATAAATTTTTTATTGACTCCACATGATCACTAAATCCTGAAAGATTAATCGGGCAGCTTTTTACCTCCATAACCTTGAGTGACCTCAGTGTGCTTGTAGTGAGATACAATTTAACTTGCAGAGTCTTTACTGCTGAGAATTAATCAGGTGAGATGGGTAGAAAAGCCCTGTGTCAGAGTCACAGATGAGTTTCTGGAGCTGTTGAGAAACCAAAAGAGCCTGTTGAATACATGTTAACCTATTTAATACATATGTTTTCAAATCTTCCTCAGGTTCACCCAAAACATGTGAAGGAAGCTTTCAGGCTTTTAAATAAGTCCATCATTAGAGTTGAGACTCCCGATGTCAATTTAGACCAAGATGACGAGCAACAAGTGGAGGATCAAGAGGACCAAGATGGGGTCAATGGTAAATTACTTACAGGGAATTTTTTCAAAGGGGAAAGTCCTTCCAGCCTTTACAGATTCCCTTTTTGAGCACATACTTCTCTTTCGTTTCTCACCCATTCCTCGTCTAATGAGGTCTAGAAATCTGGATTCCTGTTCTTAACTCTCTTGCTTCTTCAGCCTTCTTCACCACCTCACCTGGTTGGTCAGTGCAACATTTTTCAGTGGCTCAGAGTATTAAATAGGTAAAAGATGTTTCAGCTTTAAACCTGGGCATGTGTCCAAACAGGTGAGGCAGAAGCTCCAGCTGGGGTCAATGGCCTCGTGAATGGGGTCAATGGCCATCCTGAGGATGGGAACAAGGATGCTGCACCCAAAGCTTCTCTTAGACTGGGCTTCTCTGAGTACAAACGGATTTCCAATCTCCTGGTGCTGCACCTCAGGAAAGCAGAGGAAGGTAAGGATTTGCTTATTGAAATGACAGCTGGCCCTGAGCTCAGGGGGTGATTGTTACTGCATCTCATGCTGTTCCATGTGGGATTTTCACTCCTGTTGAGCCAACAAATGTGTCAGGTCTGGTGTGGACCTGTGCTCATGTGAGAGTATGACATCTGGTGATACAAATATGATTTCTTGGAGTTTTTACCTCTGTTATTTTAGTCATTTGTCAAAACCCATTAAGTTGAGAAGCATGTCAACGGAGCAGACCCAGAAAAGAACTTGCAACTGAAGGCTGATGTGATTTGGAAGCCACTTGGGTGCATAGAACTGAAAGCTTCAATTCTCAGTCTAATTATGGCCTAGTAAACCATGACACAACAGCTTCCCATGCAAAACATGATGCTTTAAGGATCAGAATAAAGTCTGATGTTGCTTAAACATGTTAAAGCGTGTTTCTCTGTTAACATTTTAAATGTTAACATAAAAATCCTTTTCTCCTATGGTTTAAATGGTATCTTACTGCTGCTGAGTTTATGCAAACTGTTTTCTTTGCAGAAGAGGACGATTCATCATTAAAGAAAAGTGAACTTATTAATTGGTATCTAAAGGAAATTGAATCTGAAATTGATTCTGAAGAAGAACTAATAAATAAAAAGAAGATCATAGAGAGAGTCATCCACCGACTCACACATTATGTAAGTATAGACATGTGTGGGTAGTGAAAAGGGGTTGTAACTTACACAGGGCAACGTTTTGTGTTCAATAGAATACATTCCTAATTGGAGAAACCTGGTTTGTGTTTCCATGTCACAGGCTGATGCAGTGTAGATGCCTTCTTTACTTAACAGCTGTTGCAATAATTATAAAAAAACACTGAAATAAACTGGAGATGTGTATAATTAAAAGTCCAAAGTGCCATATTATGTCCCTACAGAAGTGTGATATTTGTCTGTGTTTCTATAGTATTAGCTATGCATTAGGATACAGAAGTACAAGTAACACTTTCTTCAATGGATAGCCTTAAGTCGGGGGATATTGGGGTATTTTGGAGGAAAAAGTATGAAAATATAAACTCCTTTTCACTTTAAAGGAGCAAACCCACTAGACTGGAAAACACTAGCTAAAAAGTTCCCAGAAAGCATACAACATATGAGATTTCAACATAAAAGAAATTTCCACTGAATGTAATTGTTAAGACCAAGAATCTGTTAGAGGGAGTTCACAATTAAAAGGGTTAAGTAGTTAATAAAAGGGTTAAGTAGTTAATAAGAGGTGCTACCAGGATAAAAAAGAGGTGCCTTTCAAAAACTACAGACCAACCTCTCTGCCCTTGTTTTAATACAAATCTTTGTCTGTTGCAGGACCACATTCTGATAGAACTGTCCCAGTCTGGACTGAGAGGATCCAAAGAAGAGGAGACTTTTGATGAAGATCCATACCTGGTTGTCAACCCAAACTATCTACTGGAAGACTGAGGGCTGGGAGCTGCATTGGAGAGCTGACTGGTTACAAGCTGGAAAATGCATTCTTTTCTTGCAGGGGTTGCTGTACAGCAAACTCCTTAAATTCCCATGGATGTGCCAGTGTGTGGTCGGTAATATGGGATTGCTCATTCACACTGAGCATACCTGGAAAGTTTTTAAATTTATATATTAGTTCCATTATTAATTCTCAATTTTAGTGCCATCATCTGGATGCAGAAGAGAATCACCCAGTGGCTTTTTTTATCATCAAGCTATTTAGGTGCTTCTGTTTTAAATGAGAGGAATTTTGCATAGTTCTTCTGTTGCATTTAGTAGATTTTTTTATGGTATATGTTTTTATTGTTTTTCTTATTAACATAAATAAAAGCTCATCCACTGGGAGTGGATTGCTGTTACTCACATGTGGGATTGCTGTTTTTCTATGCCTGTGCTTTGAGGCTGAACAAGTAGCAATCTAAATGTTTAATGTCTTAAGAAAGATTAAATTTCCTGGATGACAGATGCTGCTTTTTAAGAAGTTTTTTTTAACTTCCAGTAATGGATAGTGAGAAACTGATTGCTTCTCTTTCTTTTTAGATGGACTAAAGATGTGCATGTTCCTGTTGCTTATGTAAAGTAGAAAATTGAAAATAACCAAGCCCAATGCAAGGTTTTAAGTCAGGAGGGCAGAAACCCCCATCTTAAATGTCTTGACCTGTAAGTTGAAAACTGCCACCATTTGTGAGGGATTTTTAAGACTATATTTGTAAACCTGGTTTTAGGTGTTTTTATAAGAAAACTTCACTTAAATTTCTGCTGTTCTCGGTTTTTTACTGTAAACTATGGGATTATTAAATAATCTATTAAGAATTAAAACTACCTGAATATTTGTCTTGTCAACTTGATACCAGCAGCTAAGAAAATTTGTAATAGCATGAAAGATACCAAAGCTATATATTTTAATTAGAAATAGTGTGAAATAACTGTCTCTGAAGCAGATTTAGAAATGGAGGTGGTCTGTAAGGCAGGCAAGTTTTTCCTTTTAGTCTCTCCCAGCTCTGAGGAGATATGCCTTGGTCTAACTAAGCATGTCATTAAAGATAACAGTTATATTTAAGGAATGGACAGTATCATAAATATTTGTCACCACCAACAACACTGTCACATCACTGGGCCCTGACTCCAACTGCAGGAATTTCTCTCCACTGATTTCTTTCATAAACCACGTTTAGGCAAATGCTACATTTCATTCAGCATTGCCACCCACCTGCAACAACAGTTTCATGCTATTCTATATTGTTCCTTTACTTTCAAAATAAGGTCAGGAAGATGTCTGTCCTTGTTATGTGTTTCCCTCTCCCCTCCTCTCAGCCTTTGTTTGATAATAAATATTGTTCATGTGGGAGAAAGTATTTTTTCTGCTTCTCTTTCCCCAGTTCTGTAGCCTGGGAAGGGTGTTCTCTCTCTGAGTTCTGAGGAATAAGCACCAGGTGGTGCTGTAAAGTTGCTGTTCAAACTTGTCATTCAAACACTGAGGTGGAGGGAAGAAGGTTGGTAGCTCTTCAGAACAGTAAGCACGAGGTTACAGCTCTTCAGGGCTTCCTGGGGAAAAAATGATCTGGGAATCAAACAGAGTCAAAGTACAGAAATTACAATCCCTGTGTAAGACTGGCTATTTGAGTAACAGCAAATGTTGAGAGATATTTTATGTTATAACTTAAAGAAAAAATTGCTTGACACAGCATTAACTTGCCCAGGTATGTTTTAGAGAAAATGCTGATCGTTAAAGAAAAATAAGCCTCATGTGGATCTGACATTTCAATATAAATATGTAGAATTTTGTGGTTAGTTGATTTAGACATGTTCTGTATTTAGGCAGTAAATGTTCTGAGCTCTTCAGCATTTGAATATAGCAAGGCTGAGTTACCTTTTCCCTGCAGCAGTTCAGGTGATGAGTGTGCCCACCCTGCTGGGAGAGCCTGTGTTTTGGGGGGTTAAGCAATAAAATGACATTCGAATTCCTGGATATTGTTGGACCTGAGGAAGCACATTGTTATTGTTATAGCTGCCTTACCTCTCACTAACAGCCACTTTTCCAATGGGGTGAGATACCATATCTCTGATTTCCTTTATACACTCAAGAATTAAGGCACAGAAGTGCTTCCTGCTGTGCTGCACACCCTGAGCCATGGTGGACCCAGCCCCAGCAGTGCAGGTAACTCTGCTTTGGTTGTTTTCTGCAGCCAGAGCTGTGCTGGGATTCCTCCTAAGCCAAAAAAAGGCTAAAAGGAGAGGGAAAGTATTATCTACTTAATCTTCCTCTGAAATGGAGGCAGTATCAGCAAAATGTCAATTGATATTCAAGTCTAAGGGGGAACCTGAGCACCTCAGAAACTGTTTTCACGTGACCTTTCTCCAACTAATTGCTTGACAGATTTTTTTGTGTTTGTCCATTGGTCTGATTATCTATTGATTAAAAATCCTGGTCTGTTATAATTCCAATGTCAGCTAGTTCTGGGAACGTTTATCAGTGTAACAGATAATTCTGGTTAAATATTACTTCTACTGTCTTATATGTAGTGTGGAATTGCCATTTGTGAAGCAGGCTCAGAAATGGAGCTGATTTGCACGACATTCATCTTCTTTCTGTTGGTCTCTCCCGGCCTTGGGATAGATGGAGAATTTGCTCAGAATTTTATTGCCATTGCTGGGCCTCTGCCCACTGAGTTGGCAGATAAATTGGGGCTGAGGGACCAAGTGCTGCCCCAGGAGGAGCAGGGCCCTGCTGTGGCTGAAGCACATGGTTCCCTGTGCCAACAAGACCTCGTGGCTTCGGAGCTGCCCCGGTACTTCTCCCACCTTCGGGAGATCGGGGTGACGCACTACAAAGTGTTCCTGCCGTGGTCACGCATCCTTCCCGAGGGGAATGCCAGGGAGCCTGAGGAAGCTCAGGTGCAGTGCTACAGGGAGCTGCTCCAGGCCCTGGTTGCTGCAGAGCTCACCCCCGTGGTGGTCCTGCACCACCAGCGTGTCCCTGGCGCTGTGGCCGCGCGGGCCGGAGGGAGGGAAGCCAGTGCTTTTGCCAGCCTTTTTGTGGAGTATGCAGAGTTCTGCCTCCGTGCTTTTGGGGACCTGGTGGATGTGTGGGTCACCTTCAGCGACCTGCAGGAGGTCCTGCATAGCCTGCCTTACCCTGACCCCCAGCAGAGAGCCCAGGCCGTGGCTGCTGCCCACAAAGGGTTTTACACCATCTTCCATGAGAAACACTCGCCGGCCGGTAAGGAGAGGGGGGACAGGGCTATTTCCAATATGACTTACAAACATGTTGTGATAGGATTGAGTGGCAACTGCCACTTGCAGTCTCTGTATTTTTGTGTACCTCTTCCTAACCCACAGAGGAAAGACCAAAAACTGCCTGAAATGTGCATGGAACCATGAAAAAACAAGACACAAGAAGTCTCCTATGAGATAACGATAGTGTGAGGAAGTCTGCAGTGTCCTTTGGTTGACTTTCCTCATTGCACACACTGGGGTTTTACAGTAATTAAATCTAAAATCTACCTGTGTTACACAGAGCAACAGAATTTCACCTGTTCCATGGTGGGTACCTGGGATTTTCCAAGCAGCTGTCCCCCGGGGTCTGCCTTCTCTGGCCTTGGAATTTTTCTGTCTCAAACAGACAGCTGGTAGAGCTGACTGAGTCAACGTTCCTTTATCCACATTTTTAATGAATGAATTTATATTTAATTCTTGCATTTGTCAGGAATGCTTTGCTGTACAGTTCACACTATCTGGTGATAGCCCTTAGAAGTTGCCCAGCTTCTCTCCTGTGTCTCCTGTCCCTCAAGTTCCTGTTCCCCCAGCATCGCAGAAGCATTCAGCACAGAATGCATTTTAAAAAAATAACCACTATAGAACCACCACAAAGGCATGAAAATTAAAGATACTACTTATAATTATGCAGGAAGGGCACAATTTATTGACAAAGGCTTCTTGAATTCTGCCTTTGAGTTTCTGCCTTCTGCAGCTCTCCATTGAAATCGCAGTGGGAATTCTGAAATCCCCTACCCAAGGCACTGTCTGCTGTTCCACAGCTTCAAAAATTTAACACTGATTTTAAAATAACTACAGCAAACTGAAGGTTTTATTTGTCCTTAATATGTCACTAACAGACTGCCTCGTTTTTCTTTCCAGGTGGAAAACTGTCCATTGCTTTAGAAACAGGTGGTGTTTTGGACAGTGCTTCTTCAGAACTGCTTTCAGTTTCTCTTCAGGTAACTTACAAAATTATATACATTTGACTTGATTTAACTTGATTTTCGTGTATGGGATCAAGTGACTTTTTGCAAGTTTGTAGATTTTTTTAAAGATTTTTAAGATTTTTTAAATGTTAGGGTCTTTTTAAAGATTTTAGCAAGCTGACCAATTGACCAGTTTGGTAAGTTTAACTTATTTCATTAGTCTAATTACATGAAGCTAGCTAATTTAACAAAATTCCTTCAGCATCTTTTCTTGGCTAGTAAGCACTGATTAAGATAGATGGAGACATATTTGCTCTCATAATTGGCAATTTTAGCAATATACTTGCCTAAATGACAAGATGTCTCCAAAAAGTGTACCCGTTATCATTTGCTTTGCACCTACTTAAGGCATACCAAAGATAAGAATACTTTATTTTAAATAACTGCTATTTAAAAAATCTGCTGATTATGTTAAAACACAGCCTGAGCTGTGCTAGCAGTGATGTGGTTGCACAGGGAAAGCACAACATGAGGAGAAGTTAGTCTCTACAAAGACAGTGAAATCCTTTCTGGAAGATCAAGTTCTCTGTTCGGATTCACCCAGAGGATGTTGATGTGAACAAATGACAGTGCAGGGTTTTTGCTGTATTCACAATCTTGCAAAAATCAGTACTGGGGTGAACAATGTTGTAGGTATGACATTGCAAGGATTTGAGCAAGGTGTGGTTTGTAGGGAGAGAACAGAAATTGCATCACACAAGCTGGCTAAACTAGAAGAGAACCTTAGACTGAAAAATGAACTGAAAGCTTATCAGTTTTCTTCCAAATTCATCAGCTGGTGTAATAAGGGAACGCAATTTGTTCCCTTGTTCCCTTGAGATTTCTGAAGTGGACTTTCCCCAAAGGGTTATTGATAAGGCCTGACCCACACAGTTGCAAAGGTTTCTCTGATTAATCACAGTCTTACTAATTAAGAAAGTCATTGTAAATCATTAATATTATATTCATAAAATAATCCTAGAATTTAATTTAGCTGTTTAAGTTTTACTTTGTTTTGAGGGAGACATCTTCCCAGACAGTATCCAGTTTGAGCTCATTATATTGTCCAGGGATCCCATGCAGCTGTATGGCTTCTTACTCCAGCAATATGTCTTTAGCAAACTTTTCAGAATTTTATGTATTTTTAATGTAATACCTGCAAAAAAAAAAAAAAAAACACCAAAAAACATTTTAGTCTGGGATGATTCTTTTCCTTTTCTTTATTCCAGGATTCAGTAGACTTTCTGTCTCTCAACCTTCAGTACCAGTGTGGAAATGAAACAGATTTCTACAAGAAATTAGATGAATTCCAGGTAACATTATGCACAGGGTTAAAATGAGAGCAGCAGACAACAAACCATAAATAGAAGTGGAATTTCATGTTCCTTGATACATGTCTGAACAGTCCTGATTTTCTGGGAGAACTCAGACAGCAGCTACACTGGGAAGCAGCTGCATGGTGCTCACTTGCTTCTCTGTTGTTATTCTGACTTAAAAACATGTGTTGGAAAGTGCTGGAAAGGATCATCTTGGTCTTATTGATGCATTTATGACCAGAATGGCAGAATTCTTCTGTCCAGGGTTGAAAACCTGCATTCTTAAATTCCATAAAACAAGAGTCATCCAGTACCTGGGCAGCAAAATAAGGAGCTGCCCATGTACAATGCAAAAACTGCAATAGCATGTTTTTAGGAGCTGACTGATGCTTCTTTTCATGCTAGTCCCTGACTTCTGGTTTTGCAGAGTGTCTGGAAGGACATAGAGATCTTGGTTTTTAGTCTGAAGTTCCTTGGTTGTGCTTCCATGGAAGAGAATCCTTTCATACCAGTAGCTGCCATTGTCACAGGTAAGTGGCATTTCAAGAAGGAGGAGAGTTTTTTAGCTAAGATCTGCATGATAAATTATAGAGGAAATTCAAAATTGTCCAATTTAGGCTGCTGCTATTAGATGAAATAACTTTATGGTCTTTTGTAGCCTTCTTGGAAAATTAAGGATGGACGGTGAGTGTTAAGGGAGAGGAAGCAGGAAATTCCCCCCAAAACTTTTTGTAATTTTCATCAGCCACAAGTTGTGACGTGAGAGGTTTAGGTTGGATACAAGGAAAAATTTCTTCACCAAAAGGGTTGTCAAGCCCTGGCAGAACTGCCCAGGGCAGTGGTGGAGTCACCATCCCTGGAGGCATTTGAAAGACGTGCAGATGTGGCACTTGGGGACGCTACAACACTGGTGTTGTTTGGCAGTGCTGGGTTAACAGCTGGACTTGATGATCTTAGAGAGCTCTTCCACCCTAAATGATTCAATGATTCCATGATAATTTTTTAACATGAACTTGTAAATACCTAATAAAGAACCCAATACATCTGATCTGAGAAAAGCAGCTCTTAGTTGTGAGGAGCACCTTGTTCCTCCAGGAGTAACTGTCTGTACAGGCAGTGCCGTGCAGTCCGTGGCTCCTGAGGTGGGACCGAGTCCTTCCCTTACTGTTTGCTTGTTTTCAGCTCTTAATAAAGAAGGAACACGGACGATTGGATGTGACACTAGTGAGTTCTTGGACTACTTGTCTCATGTTTCAAGGTACAGTTTTTGATCTTCAAATCAGATAATAAAACGGAGTCTTCTAGAAACACATGAGCAGGCAGAGACAAGACAGTTGTGGTGGTAAAGGCTGTTGTCAGTGGCTGAAAGGGCTGGAAAGGGAGGCCCTTCTGCTGAGCCCAGTCTCTTGTGATTACAGGCAATCCTCTATCCTGCTACTAATCCCATAATGTAATCCTCTTCCACTCTCTCATCCTTAGTTACCCAAATTGCACCTTCAAGCCAATAGTGACAAGTACGTTTCCCAAGCCTTTTGCTCTTCTGCAAAAATAGTTATAAATAAACAAATCCAATAGAGGCTTTCCTAGGGGAGAAGCCAACTGGACCTATGGAAATGTGAGAGATGTCAGTGTGCAGGGAGGTGCTGAGGATTACAGAAGCAGGATTGATTAGTTTTAGTTTATCCCATGGAAACTCAATGAGAGCAGTTGTAGCATGTGCAATTTCTACACACTGCAGTGATTTTGTTTGTATCTCTGACCTGGCTGTAATGAATTATGAGAATCTGCCTGCAGATTAGATATCTGGCACGTGAGCTGCTCAGCAGTTACCTCACTGGTAACTACCACCTGGGTGGCAGCAGCTTGGGTTGATCAGATGACAAAGGAACTGTACCCTAAAGTGGCTTATGTGACATGAATGGGAAGCAAAAAAATTAGTTTAGTCTCCATGTTTGCAAATTCTATGGCAGTGGCATTCATCTTGGAGATTTTAATTTCTTTTTATTCCATTTCCAGCCAAACAAATACTCTACAGGAGAACCCAGCTGCTGTTGTTGCCCCTCGCTCCTCCTACCAAACAGTTTGGGAAATGTTTGCTGGACAGTCTGAACTGGAGAGGGATTCTTTCCTGCAAGACATTTTCCCAGATGGTTTCCTCTGGGGCACATCCACAGGTGCCTTTAGCATTGAAGGAGCTTGGGCAGAGGATGGGAAAGGGGAGAGCATCTGGGATCAGTTTGGGCATGCAGGCCATGTCCACCTGAACCAAACAGCAGACGTGGCATGTGACAGCTACTACAAAACCAGCTATGACATTTTCCTGCTCAGGGGTCTTCACCCCCAGCTGTACAAGTTTTCTGTGTCCTGGCCTAGGATTTTCCCTGCTGGCACCAATGAGACCATCAATTCAAAAGGTGTTGATTATTACAACCAGTTAATTAACCAGCTGTTGGACTCTCACATCGAGCCCATGGTGACTCTGTTCCACTGGGACCTCCCCCAGGCCCTGCAGGCCCTTGGGGGCTGGCAGAATGACAGTATCATAGATGCTTTTGTGAGTTATGCAGACTTCTGCTTTTCCACTTTTGGGGATCGAGTGAAACTCTGGATCACATTCCATGAGCCCTGGGTTATCAGCTACGCTGGCTACGGCACCGGGGAGCATCCCCCAGGAATCACTGACCCAGGAGTGGCATCTTACGAGGTAGGGACACAGGAATAATTAGGATCCTACAGCTGCTTTTGTTGGGTTGTTTTCCTCTAATGTTCTGTACTTTAACTATGTTCAAACCTAATGTGGCCTCTGAGACAACTATTTGCTTCTTGGATTTATGGTACCTGCAAAAAATGGGTTTGTTAACAGGGGCTAGATGTTCTTATTTTATTTTTCCATTCTGAAAGCTGGTGTTGAAGGATAGTCAGATTCTCCACCTTATTCATTTTGTCAAGGCTTTTTCTTTTGGATGTAGAGGCCCTTTTCACGTGGCAATAACCTGAAGGCTCGAGAGCTTTTGTGTGGTGCAGTGTGACACGTGCTGCTCTGCTTTCTGCTCCCAGGTGGCTCACACAATTCTCAAGGCTCACGCCAAGGTCTGGCACCTGTACAATGACAAATACCGCTCTCAGCAGCTGGGAAAGGTGGGGCTGGTGCTGAACTCGGACTGGGCTGAACCCAACACTCCAGCCAGCTCTGAGGACGTGAGGGCATCTGAGAGGTACCTGCAGTTCATGCTGGGCTGGTTCGCCCACCCCATATTTGTCGATGGCGATTACCCTGAGATCCTGAAGGCTCAGATCCAGGCAGTGAACCAGCACTGCTCCACAACAGTGGCACAGCTGCCTGTGTTTACAGAGGAGGAGAAGTCCTGGGTGAAAGGGACTGCAGATTTTTTTGGCCTTTCCCACTACACTTCCCGCCTGGTCAGTGCCGGGGCTGACGGGACCTGCGCTCCAGGATACGAGAGCATTGGGAACTTCTCCTTGCACGTGGATCCTTCCTGGCCACAGGCTGCCTCTTCCTGGGTCCATGTGGTCCCTTGGGGGTTGAGAAGGCTGCTGAAGTTTGTATCCCAGGAATACACAGGGACAGAGATCCCAATATACATAGCAGGGAACGGTGTGCCCACGGGAGACACGGGGGATCTCATTAATGACACCCTGAGAGTGGATTATTTCCGACAGTACATCAACGAGGCCCTAAAAGGTAAGGAGAAATCAAATTATTGTATTTTTTTTTAGTCATGATAACTGGCTATTTTAGCCCTTCCGTGGTGGTTGACTGCAAAACATCAAAGCAGAGTGATGGTCAGCTGCCTCTTGTGTGGTGAGTGTGACCTCATCTACTCCAGCCTGTCTGGTGTCCAGGTATGGAGCTCTCCATCCTCTTTAGATATGGGAATAGGTTTTCATAGATATGGATTGATGTAGTCTGGACCCTAAGATCAGTTCATATACTCCAGCTCCCCTGAAGATGATTTGCCTGCAGGATCTTGCCTGTAGAGATCTCACAGATCAGGCCTGAACTGCCTGTACTAATTCATCAGATCTAACCGGCAGCATCCTGCACCATTTCAGGTTAGAAGCTTTAGAGAGATATTTATATCTTAATCATTTTTGGAAGGTTCCAGTTGTGCTTATCTCTTTGCAAGCTATGTATCTGTTGATGTAAAAATAATATTAGTGACTCAAGTTCTGGGCAGGAACAGAGATTTGAGGTTTCAAACAGAGATTTAACTGATTCTCTTGAGATATTCAAAACAATACTGTCAGGAAAACATTATTAAATATGCTGTGTTAAATATGTTGGTGATCAGTGTACAACATTTGATCTTCTTGACCTAGTTCTCAACATAAGGCTAGGAGTGATAAAACACAATTTAGCATTGCTGTTGTGCCTCAGCTGCAGTAAAGGAGATGGACTGCACATGGGGAGTGAACTTTTCTGGAGAGAGAGACAGATGTAGTGCTTTTTTGTAGGCAATGTGAGGGAGGATGCTGGACTTGCCCCTGCTGGCATTGAATACACTGTTCTGCCTTAAGAAACTCTCCTGAGCTCAGGGAAGAAAGGCAAGCACTGAATACATGCAATGCTTCAGTTCAACTATGGTGTTAAATCTAAAATGCACCATTACCTTAACTGATGAAATCTACTTGAAAGCAAGAACACAGGGAAAGGGATACCAGTGGCACAAGTGGCCTGTACTCAAATATCTCTTGACTAATACTTCTTTCCTCACACGTTTTTATCACTAAGCATTTGACCAGCTCCTGTTAGAGTGCTGACTGCTTTCCTTGCCTGATACTCATAATTGTTTGGGAGGTTTTTTTAGCCTAAAAACCCATTTGTAGGTGTTTGGCTTGTCACACCACCCTCAGTTGTGGTGCTTGCTGTGCTGAGCTGTGTTCAGAGAATGTTCAAGTGTGTAACAGTGTGTGGTGTTGTCTCTGTGGCAGCGGTGAAACACGACGCCGTCGATGTTCGGTCGTACATCTCTCGGTCCCTGGTTGATGGCTTTGAAGGCCCACTGGGGTACAGCCTGAAGTTTGGGCTGCATCATGTGGACTTTGAAGACAGCAACAGAGCAAGGACTCCCAAGGCATCTGCTTATTTCTATTCCAGTGTTATTGAAAAGAATGGTTTTCCTTCCGAAGCCTTGGGCAGATCTCCTGCGCCACTGGTGTTTGACCGACCTGCGCCACCAAAGTTGCCAAATTTACCAGCATCAGAAGTTCCCTCCAAGGCAAAGGTTGTCTGGGAAAAGTTTTCGTCTCAGACTGCCTTTGAAAGAGACATGTACTTTCATGGGACATTCCCAGAGGGCTTTACCTGGGGTGTGTCTTCTTCTGCCTACCAGATCGAGGGAGGCTGGGATGCTGACGGCAAGGGGCCCAGCATTTGGGATACCTTCACCCATGTCCCAGGGAATGTAAAGAATAATGACACTGGAGATATTGCTTGTGATAGCTACCACAAGGTGGAGGAAGATATTTACCTGCTGAGAGCCTTGGGGGTAAAGAACTATCGTTTCTCCCTGTCCTGGCCTCGAATTTTCCCCACTGGAAGGAACAACTCAGTCAACAGCCATGGAGTTGACTACTATAACCGTCTCATTGACGGGCTGGTCGCAAACAACATCACTCCAATTGTCACTCTCTACCACTGGGACCTGCCCCAAGCTCTCCAGGACATCGGTGGCTGGGAAAACAACACCCTGATTGACCTGTTTGACAGCTTCGCAGACTTCTGTTTCCAGACCTTCGGGGACAGGGTGAAATTCTGGATCACGTTCAATGAGCCCTACGTCATTGCCTGGCTGGGCTATGGCCAGGGGACGTTCCCTCCCAATGTCCAGGACCCTGGCAGTGCTCCCTACAGGGTTGCCCACGTCCTGCTGAAGGCCCACGCCAGGGCCTACCACACCTACGACGACAGGTACAGGGCCAGCCAGGGAGGGGTCATCGCCCTGTGCCTCTACATCCACTGGGCCGAGCCCAAGTCCCCCGGCGACCCCAGGGACGTGGAGGCCGCAGACAGGTACCTGCAGTTCATGGTGGGCTGGTTTGCACACCCCATTTTCAAAAATGGGGACTACCCCGAGGCGATGAAGTGGAAGGTCGGGAACAGGAGTGAGCTCCAGGGGCTGCCCTCGTCCCGCCTGCCGGCGTTCACGGCGGAGGAGCGCGAGTACATCCGGGGCACGGCGGACGTGTTCTGCTTCAACACCTACACCTCCAAAATCATCACCCACTCCACGACCCGCCTGAATCCCTTCTCCTATGAGTATGACCAGGAAGTTTCAATCAGCGCTGACAGCTCCTGGCCTTACTCAGGTCTCGAAGGCCATCGGCCCGTGGCCTGGGGGCTCAGGAGGCTCCTGAACTGGATCAAAGAGGAGTATGGAAATCCCCCAATATACGTCATTGAGAACGGGGTGGCGATAGACACCACATCGGATGTGGATGACAATGCCAGGATATTTTACTACAAAACATACATTGACGAAGCTTTAAAAGGTACCGGTGTTTGCTTTTGTTCTGTTGGGGTTGTGTGCCTCCTCTCTAGATTTCTGGTTCCTTTATTCCTCTGAAGAACCATTTTTAAAAGTGATTAATATCAGTCTTCAAATATCCTGAGCACAATATAAACATGCTGTTTCTTTTTGTGATCTCCTCTGCATGGCTGCTTGTGCTTTGTGTCCTCCAACTGTGAAGAGTGTCTTAATGACCTTTGTGAAGCTAAAAACAAGTGAGTTCCTCAGGGTTCATTTATGTGTGATTACCCCACTGATGCCCTTCCTTTTGTTTCTGGTCTTTCAGCTTCCAGGTTAGATGGTGTTAATCTGAAGGGATACAACGCTTGGTCCTTCATGGATAACTTTGAGTGGTCGGATGGTTATGACCCAAGGTTTGGATTGCTCCAGGTTGATTTCAACAACCCCAACAGGCCCAGGACCCCAAAGCGCTCGGCTGTGTACTACGCTGAAATCATCCGCAGTAACGGGATCCCACTGCCCAGAGAGGATGAGTTTGTGTATGGAGAGTTCCCAAAGAACTTCTCGTGGAGCGTAGCAACTTCAGCATACCAGGTCAGGAAACAGAGAGGGACTCTTGGAGTGTCTGTGGACAGTTAATTCAATTTGGATGAGACACCTACAGCTTTTGCAACATTGGGTTTTACTGTAATTAAACATTGGGTTTTACTGTAATTAAACATTGGGGTTTACTGTAATTAAACATTGGGGTTTACTGTAATTAAACATTGGGGTTTACTGTAATTAAGGGTTAGTGTAGCAACTGCTCTAAAAGGGGGGAACTTGGAAGTGTTTAAGGGTGTGGTTATACCACAGGAAATAGGACAACAGCATGGGCTTCATAAGATCCAACCAACATGGAGCATTAATGAACTGAAACACTGCCTGCTCTGGGACATTGTCCTTTGCTAATGTGTCTTACCTTGAGGCCCAAGGTACAGCAAAAACGTTGCTATTTCTAGTCTTAAGCTGATAAGCCAAAATATTGTGTGGCACCACGAACACTAACAGGCTGAATTCTTTGCTAGGCCAAGACCTAAATTTAGGGTTTACTAACAATTTCCCCCCCATCTTCGATTAATTGCAGATTGAGGGAGGATGGAGAGCAGATGGGAAAGGACTGAGCATTTGGGACAAGTATTCTCACACTCCCCTGAGAATCAGCAACGATGACACCGGAGATGTAGCCTGTGACAGCTACCACAAGATTGAGGAGGATGTGGAAATGCTGAAAAGCCTCAAGGTGTCTCACTATCGGTTTTCCATCTCCTGGTCCCGTGTTCTCCCAGATGGGACCACCAGGTACATCAATGAAATGGGACTGAACTACTATGAAAGGCTCATCGATGCCCTGCTGGCAGCCAACATTAAGCCTCAGGTAACTAAAACTGGTGACTTCGAGGTAACTTAGAAACAGCAGAACCCAAGTCTGGTGCTCAGAGCAATGTGTGTATTCCCATCCACACCCTTCTTCACAGAGAAATTGGTTTTCATTGTTTTTCACTGCGTTCTGCAAAGAAACATGGGGGTTTGCATGAAGGAATAAACTGGGAATATAGTGATATTTTTACCCAGTAAGATCATAGTAACCTTATTATTGGATGTTTCCAATCACCTTCTTGTCCCTTATCTCCTTGGAAGTAGAGTCCACAAGGACCTACACAGTGATCTTTCCAGACACTGAGGTGAGACTGACCAACCTGTAGTTCCCCAGATCTTCCTTCTTGCCTTTCTTGGAGACAGATGTAACATTATTCTTTTCTCAGGAGCCAGGAATCTCCACAGGGTCACATACAATGGACAGTGACCTCAGCACTGCATCAGTCAGCTCTTTCAGCACTGGTTAGTGAATCTGACCTGTCCCATAACCTTGGACCAGCCCAGACTGGTGCTCTGTTGGATTGTATTTCACCAGTGCAAGTGCAGCAGTTCTTCACTGAGGAGTTCTTGCTGTCACAAGGTGCTTTTTGGTAAAAGCTCCATCTTCACCCTCAGGCGGTCCCTGGAGTTTGAGTCATTTCCCCACATCCTAAAGAAAACACTGAAACAGTGGCAAAAAGGTATTTTATTCGAGTGCACGAGTGAACACCACAAACTCCAGTCACCATTAGGAACAGGTGGCCACAGATCAAAGCACAGTTTGTGTGTTCATAAATGAGTCTGGGTTACTGTCCTTATTTCCAGAAGTGAGAGTGACTGGTTGGATCCTTTGTCTTGCTGTCTTTCCCCACAGGTAACTCTGTATCACTGGGACCTCCCACAGGCCCTGCAGGACCTCGGTGGGTGGGAGAATGATACAATAATTCAGAGGTTTAAGGAATATGCTGAGCTCCTTTTCCAGAGACTGGGAGATAAAGTGAAATTTTGGATAACCCTCAATGAACCCTACAACACTGCATATCTTGGCCATGGTGTTGGCACAGCTGCTCCAGGTAGGACTGCTGGGCACAACCTCAGAGCCCTGGCAGCACTGCGGGCACAGCTGGTTTGTGCTGCGGCACAGCAGATGCTTGGGGCTGGCAAAGGAAGGAAGGAGGTGTGGTGTGGATAGATGGGGTTTGGATTGCTGTGGGGCAGGTCCTTCTTTCACTCTGCCTGTCACCTCCAAGACCCATCCTCCTTCTCCCACTCCTCTAATCCAGCCCTCCTCTGCAGCCCCTGGATTAGACGTGCTGCCTGGAGCAGACCTCAGCTCCAGGGACCGATTTCAGCCCAGGGCTGAAACATTTGTGGACAGTTCTGGGTGTCCTGGGGATTGTGTTAAGCTGGGTGGCAGCCATGAGAAAGCTGGGAAGTGCTGCTCCACTGGCTGTGCTGTCCCTGTCTCTGCAGGAATCTCCATCCGGCCGGGCCGAGCTCCCTACGTGGTGGGACACAACCTGATAAAGGCCCACGCCGAGGTCTGGCACCTCTACAACGAGACCTACAGGGCCAGACAGGGAGGGCTGATCTCCATCACCATCAGCTCTGAATGGGCAGAGCCACGGAACCCACACAAGCAGGAGGACATCGAGGCCTCCAGACGGTTCATGCAGGTACAGAGACCCCTGGTCACAGCTCTCCTGCTGCTCCCGGGTCTGTTCGTGGGGACAACCCCTCTCCCAGTGCTGGACATGCCCAGAACCTGAAAGAAAAGGATGAACCAGAGGCACCACTTGCAAGGAAATGTATCACTCTCCTTTAGGGGCTGATAGAGTAGGCAACAGAAATGAGACAAAATACGGTTGCAGTGGCAAAAGCTTATTAAATTTACTGCCTTTATATGGGCACTGCTGGACATCTCCATGTGCCTGTTTGTTATGAATTAAGGTATCACCTATAAAGCAGCTCGTGACAGAGATATGGTTAAATCCCTCGTTTTGATACATGATTTATCCTCCCTTGTTTCCTGGTTTAGTTTTTACTAGGTTGGTTTGCCCATCCCATTTTCAAAAACGGTGATTACAATGAGGTGATGAAGAGAAGGATTCGGGAGCGCAGCCTGGCCCAGGGCCTGAGCCAGTCCCGGTAAGAGCCCAGGCACACACTCCTGCCCTTGTTTCACTTGCTGTGCTCAGACCTGCAGCTTTTCTGGGATAGAAGTGCTACATTTCAATGACTCTGTTGCAGTCTTACTGTAAACAGCTCATTGTATCCTCACAGAAAACTTGTAGTGTACATTTTCATAGAACCATAGAATAGTTTGGGTTGGAAGGGACCTTAAAGATTATCTAGTTCCACAGCAGGGGGGGTTGCCTGTTCCCTGTCTGTATCTCTCTTGCAAACTAAATTTACTGATATAACACAGCTTTGGGGTAATAAGTTGGCAGCTCAGTGATACAGTAAATGCCTGTATCGCTGCATTAGACACATTACCTGACAACTCTGAAAAATTTGTTTTACCTTTTCTTGAAACTGTGTACTGAACTCTGGCATTGAGAACTCATTGGTCCCTCTGAATCACAGTTCTTATTTTCCATTCCCAGTTCCTCCTGTTTTTTCCCATGTTCCTCCAGAAGGATCATGGTACTGGTCCCAGGGATACCAGCATTACACATGGAGTGTGTTCAGGGTGTGTTCTCTGTTTTCTCTTGCAGACTTCCAGAATTTACTGAAAGTGAAAAGCAAAGAATTAAAGGCACATATGACTACTTTGGTCTAAACCAATACACCACAGTTTTAGCATACAACCTAAACTTTCCCAGGGTTGTTCAGTCATATGACTCTGACAGGTAAGAGATGAATTACTGGTCAAGTAAAATCTGCACACCTGGAGCCTGGGCCAACTGACAAGTGTAAATTGATAGCAAATAAATCTGTGAGATGGGTATTTTAAGCTGTTGTAACCAATACTTGGGAAAACAGCCCCAAACAGTACCAGTGGTGCTGTTATTTCCATGATAAACATGAATCTTTGAAACAGAAAAAGGAAAATCAGAGGATCTGTTAAAGGAAAGAATCTGGACTTGTGAGTTTCCCAGTGGTTTGGGATCAACTGCAAAGAGTTTTTATCATATTTCCCGTCTCCAGTCTGCAGTTTGAACTGTGGGGTTATCCTGCTTAATGGATACTGTTCCATTGGATAAATGTGAGTTCAAAGGCTAAATAGCTAAATCACTTCGTGGTTAGGTATATATAAGTAAAGATTTTTCATTAGATACTTGATTTCATTCCCCAGCTTCAAAAGGTAAAGGATAGGAGCTTATCAGTTTTCCTGATGGGAATTAAAGTAGTGGTGGGACTACACATGGGGGTGAAATTGTCTGCTTTCCGAAACCTTTCCACAGGGAATATATGAAATTGTTTTAACTTGCCTTTGCTGCTGCATCCCAGCCCCTGTGGTTTAGCCCCATAGGACATTGGGCTCAGTCTTGCATTCCTGTATGTGGGTAGGAAGGGCAATTTTATGTGCTCAAGCACCGCATGATACGTTGGAAAGTAGAACTGGTGTCATAGTGTGCAAAGATTTGGAGCCAACATCACACCCTCAGCCACGGCTGATTTACACAGCAAAGCAGGAGAAGTGTTTTCTATAAAAACCACTTGTGAGTGGTTTTTAGGGTTGTGGGCACCAGCCCCAGCTCAGCCCTGGGCGCTGAGGTGCCAGGAGCTGGGACTGGTCCTCCCCAGTGTCTCCTCTGCAGGGGTGTGGCCACGGTGAGCGACCGCAGCTGGCTGGGCTCCGGCTCTACCTGGCTGAAGGTGACACCCTTTGGGTTCCGGAAGATCCTGAGGTGGATCAAGGAGGAGTACAACAACCCCCCCATTTATGTGACTGAGAACGGGATCTCGGAGAGGGGGGCCTTTGTGTTCAATGACACTCAGAGGATCCATTACTACCGGAGCTACATCAACGAGGCACTGAAAGGTAGGAGTGGTGGTGGAAACCTCATCAGCCAGAGAGAGCTCTGGAGAGCTGGAGACTGGGGTGGATAAAGCAAGGGCTGAAACAGCACTGCCATCACACCTGTTACACACTCATGTGTAAGAGTTTACTGAATCCAATTCCAAGAGCCTTTGGGCTTACCAAGAACTGCCACGGAAGTCACGACTGTGCCAGGAAAGGGATCTAAGGGGAGAACAAACCCTGGGTTTAGCAGGGTAAGGGCAGGTTCCTTCATTAGGTGCCTCTCTAGCCAAACACTACTTTGGCTTCTAGTTTGACTACTGCTGTGTCTAAAAACTGCATTTAAAAAAAAAAAAAGGGTAAAAAAACCAACCCCCAAACTAGTTTCAGTTACAGCAGTGCTTGAGCAACTTCAGGAAAGGGCATTTTCAGTTTGCTTTTCTGACATACTGGGAACTGCCAGCCAGGTGTTCAGGAAGTGCTCATTTACTGTGGCATGAGGCACCACAAACACTTGTTTCACCAGCTGTTGCATTTTGATGGCTTTTCTTCTCTGTTCCCAAACCTTTGTTTCTCGGACAAAAGCTTTGATTTTTGGAGCAGAGAAAAGCAGCCTGTAGTCCTGGGCAGTGACTGAACTACCCAGGCTGTAACCTGGCAGCTGAAGTAGCACAGAGCAACTGCTCTGAGTCAACACGGGAGAGAGGTGGGAATGGGGAAAAAACCAAAAACCAAGGAGGTGGAGTGTCAGGTGTGGATGTTGTGGAGCATTTCATGCTGTGGCTGGCAAGGGGTGGCACGCTGACCTGTTCTCTCTGCTCCTGCCCCAGCCGTGGTGCACGACGGCGTTGACCTACGGGGCTACACCGCGTGGAGCCTGATGGACAACTTGGAGTGGGCCGTGGGCTTTGATGAAAGGTTTGGGCTCTACCACGTGAACTTCTCAGACCCCGCCTTGCCACGGCGCCCCAAGGCCTCTGCCAGGTACTACTCACAGATCATAAACTGCAGTGGGTTTCCAGACCCAGCAACGGGCCCACATCCCTGTCTGGAACCGGAGCCAGAAGGTAAGCGGTGCAGCAGGAATTGTGTGCTTGCATCTGATTCCAGTTGCTAAAGTTCTCCATAATCTACAGTCTTTAGAGACAGTATTTTCTGCAGTATTCCCTCTAAAGGCTCTTATCATCATCAGTCCTTGTTATGACTGAGGACATCCATGTACAGTGATACCATTCCTGTGTGCAAAGCCAGACTAACGCTGAAATCCTGTGCGAGAGCCCCTCAACACACACCTGTCTCCAACATGAAGCAAGAGAGTTATTCCATTAGACTTTTCTCTGACTAACAACTGCCCAGGATGTGGTTTTCCAAACCACACACATTCAGTACTCCCACATTTCTTCTAATCAGTTTTGAGTACTTTATATGAATCAGTGTTTTGGGTAAGCCTTTGGAAATACTGATCCTTTTGTGATTTATGTTCCCTGAACTAGAGGAGGGCAATCAACAGCACCCAGTGTTAGTGTGGGGGTCTGGGGATGACCGTGGATGCCTGAGAAGCCTCACGTGTACTCAGGAATTGCACTGTCAGCCTCCACTGTGCCTTCACTCTGAGCCAGAACTGTGTCAACCCCTGATCCCCAGAGTAGGGAACAGCACAGTGGAAAGCCGTGTGGAGGCAGGAAGCAGCAGTGCCCAAACCTGCAAGGAACAGCTCCCCCAGGCTCTGTACTAACACTTCATTATTGTTTCCAGTGACACCACCAGACCCCACTCCAGGAGCAGCTGCCACTGTGAGCTTTTTGGGATTGGATTTGACATCCCAGAGTGCAGAAATCGCCCTGTACATGCTTTTTGCTCTTTCAGGAGTTGGAGCCTTGGCCTTGGCTCTTTTTGGATACAAATACGGAAAATCAGTCAAAAGATCCCATAAACAATCACACATGGAACTGAGAAGTAAAATGTAACATTTCCACTTGCTCAACTGGTTTTTGGGTTTGGTTTTTCTTAAAAAAGAAGGTTCTACCAGCAGAAGAAGAAACTTAGTGCTTGTTCTGCTGCAGCTTTGTGTCTTGCCTCAGAGATGGCTCCCCAGCATTGTGGTGTTTGCTTTTCCCAGCTTTAAAATGGGGAGGAAAATTATTCTTCTGTGTTAACTGTCTTTTTTTCTCCATGGGCATCATTGGTTTGATTTCTTAAGGACCAAAGTGCTTGTTCCTACCTGCATGTGAGGTTTCTGAGTTTCAGCTGGAACCTGTTTGTGCTTCAGCATCTTCTGTGGATCTGAGGGGGGCCCCTCAAAGCTCTACTGCTTCTTAGTGTTTTTAAGACAAGTTAGTGCCTATACTGGTGAAAACTGGTCTAGACTGTACTGTTCTAGTGCAGCTACTGCACAGATGGGGTTTTTACCCCCCTTTTCCTTTATGTCATGTACAGCAAGGTCGTTTAAACTGGATTAAAACATTTCTCTGCTGTGTTTTGAGTTTCCTTGTTTCCCTGTGCCACAGGAACTTCAGAGGAACTTCACAAGACAGTGACATTTTTCTGGAAAATAGTTTATTGAGTGCTTAGGGAATTAAAAACTACAAGGTTTTGCTTGCAGTTGCAGAAGCAAGAAAAAAGTTAAACATAAATTAGTTACCTGATTTGCTACTTATAGTGCTTCTGAGACCCTCATTTTAATCAGTCATTGTCTACCATGACCTTTATATTAATATATCTGGCCCTTAGATTCATGTAGCAGAATATTTATAGATTAAAAAGTGCCTTTCTATGGCAGAGGGTAATAATTATGAAAGCTGATGGAGGTTTTCAGTCTTTTTACTTTTTTTGCTTCTAGGTCTCACCTATACTCACTTGATTTTTCTGACATAGGTGACTCCATTCCAGACTCCACCGCAGGAATAAGAATTAAGTAATTCAGTCAGTGTAAAATAAGCCCCACTTGTCCAGAACCTTTAGTTGACTTAGATCAAATAAAAGAAGAGAAGGAAAAAAAAAAAAAAGCAGCCAGATAGTAACTGCAGTTACTCAAAACTACATTTGTTGTGTAGAATTTCCATTCCAAGTATTGTTTTCATCTTCTCCATCATCTTGAGTCCTCAGTCTATATATTTTGCCTTCTTTTTTGAAGTCTTCCCCCCGCTTTTCCACGGCTCGTTTCCTGACTGCTTGTCTAGGGCACAAAGGACAGAGGTTTGAGTTTCCCCAGCAATAATTACACAAGGGAAGCAGCAGATGCAATAAACACAAATTGCACATTATTCCTTCTCTTATCCCCAGTCATAGTTTTCTTCAGCCCTTTGTGTCCTTGGGAAGCAATACCCAGGTGAAAATGTGCCACTTTGCAGTCGGACAAACTGACAGAATCTCATTTCCCTGTCACTGAGGAAGATGGGGCTGCTTTACCCACAACAGCCCAGCAGCTGTCCTGGTACAGGGGAGATCTCAGGCAGTACAAACCCTGTCAGAATCTGACTCCAGCTGCCCGAGTTTCATCTACAACCACATCATAACCATCTGATGTCTCATTTTCAACACACTATCTGAAGTAAAAAGTATCATACTAAGTAACAAATACCATCCTAAGCTGAAGTGAAGCCACCTCTTACAGCTGAATTCCCCGTTCATAAATGACTTTTAAAGACAATGCTTTTCCTGGTCTGTAATTGGAAGTGCAGTTCCCCACTACAAGATTAAAGCAATTCAGGCGAGTAGCTTGAGAAACAGCTGCCTTGGCCACTTGTCTCACCTGCTCTGCTCGAGGCTGCTGGATGTTGAAGGGGCTGAATGGTCTTGCTGATGAGCTGCTCTCACCGCGGGCTGGGAGGGGGGTGGGCTCGTAAACAGAAAGTTGCTAATGAATCTCCAAACCGCTAAGAGGGGGTAAAGTATCGTGCCCAGGAACTTCCACAGGTCGCTGCCTGAAGCCTGGACAACAGAAGTAGCAGGTCTTCCCGCCTGGTCAGGAACACACAAAGCACATTTGTCAGATACTGAAGTCATGCTCTGGTAGACAGAGTATTATACAGGTAATTTAGAAGCAGCTCAGCAGACACACATTAGACACACAAACGTCAATGCCACCATTCATCTGCTTCAGAAGAACTCCAAGTGAATCTTGACAAAAACAAAAGTAATTTGGCAATCTGTGTAGACACAGAAAAGCCCCAAATTCAAGCCAAATATGAGGGCTGACAAGCAAATTCCCAGCTGCAGCAGTGCTGCCTGCAGGACAGTGAAACATGAACCAAGCCAACACCCACCGGCAGCAACACCACTGAAGCACTGGGTGCTAACTCCAGTTCCAGTAACTTCTTTCCATAATCTTCTTTGGTGAACTCCCTCCTGGGAAACATTGTCGCCAGTGAGAAATTGCCGTAAGTGTTACCAACCGTCTGGGAAAAACAGAAAGGAAACTTCATTTCTATTATATTGGTAACTGTTCACTCTCAAACAACTGCTGATTTGCCAGTTGAGTATATCTTGTGTACCTTGCTAAGATTTCTTATCAAACTATCAATCATCTTCATAGTAGGATATGAGGGGATCCTTCACTCCTCCGTGTCTCTTACTGATGATACACAGCAGTGATACAAAGGTGGCACTAGAAAGTGATGCTGCCAAACCCCCCTTCAAATACTCACCAAGGAGAGGAGCTGATGACAACTCCACCTCAAATCAACTAGTTGATGCTACACTGAGTTGTAATCAGCCTGTAGCTGAGAGAACAAACCCACAGTTTACCTGTGCAGCAAACTGCCTTGCTTCTTCCAGCCGTGCTTCCGATGGGAACTGGTTGGTGAAGGAAGATCCATCTGGGAGGCGGAACTGGATCCTGGCTATTGCACTGCAGGACATACGGGGGTCAGTCAGCACACAAACAGTTACAGACACACACTCCTGGGGCTTTAGCTTGGCTGGACTGAAATGTGGCAGAGAGGGACAGCCATCCTACTCCTGGCACTGCAGATGGGCTGGATTCACAGTGGATAATCTCTTGCTTATCCCTCACCCTGCATCTCTTCCATAACTCCATACACAGGCTCTGTAGGTCAGAATCATTCTTAAAACAGCAGCACTGGGCAAGGCAGGAGGCAGCTCTGACAAGGTCCCAGTCAAGCCTTGCTGAATCTCAGCCCACCATTCACAGCCCAGCAGCTGGACCAGCACCACTCCCCAGCAGTGCCACTGTCAGCCACTCTGTCCCCTCATTACCATTCACATCCTCACCTTATCTAGTCCCCCATCCAGCCCCATTACATTTGGTATTTAAATCAAAGATCAGGCAGAAAAAGCTGTTATCTAACCAAAATAACACACAAGGAAAGGTGGTGTTTCATAATCAGCAATGTCAAAAGGATAAAAGTTATCAGAGAACATAATGTTCATGAAAATAGCTACGAATTAATGTGGGGAAAAAAGCCAACTTTTAATGTCACTGTTTAAACAGTTTAATACTGCAACATGTTGTCAATAGATTAGGATAGATATTAAATCTCTTGAAAGCTCGTTTCTTTACCTCTCTCCCCAGAAATATACCCTTGTTTCTCTACAGCAGCTTACCTTCTCTCCCTTTGAGCTGCTTCTTTCCTGGCCTCTAGTTCAGCCTGTTTGGCCTGAAGAGCTGCAGCTTTTGCAGCTTCTGCCTCTTCCTTGGATTTTGCAAAGCGAGCTGCTCTCTCAGCACGGTCCTGGCAGAAGGAGCAAAGAGAAACCTTAATTTTTGCTGTAAGTTGTTGCTTAACATTCATTCAAACAACCAGCCACGATCTGGACTCGTGAACAGACAGAACTGCACAGACAGGAGCAGAGCATATGGAGAAAAGACAGTAGTGCTGCAAGGAATTATTCACTGCCAGGCTGCACAATCTTGTGTCATTAGCCACACTTCTCATGAGTCACTTCCCACTGACAGTTGTTAATAGATGATCTTCCCATGCAAGTTTAATGCTCCAGGGAAGATAAAGGCAAAAATCTTATGCCAAGTTACACGATTGCAATTCTAAGTGTTCTGCAGCAAACCCTAATAATGAGGAAGAATCTCAGTTGTTACAATCTATTTGCATCCATCTATGCACACACATTTACACAAACCTAGAAAATAACCCTCCCCACCATTTTGAGACTGGTATTCTCATGTGTGTTCTACAATTAAATATTCCCTGTGCTGCTCTTTCAGTACCATGCCTAAATGGCACTGATTTTTATGTTTAAATGATAATTCTCCCTAGTCTGAAACAATTTGACAGAAAAGCTGGTACGTTTGTTCAGATAGAAAAGATCATCATGAATACAAAAGCAGAAGTTTCATTTTATACACGGGAAATGCCACATAAAACCCAAACACCAAAACCGTGGCAGGACTGCAAACAGAAAAACGAACAATCTCGCAGAGTTTCACCAAAGAAAATTTATCATTTCACTACACCAGTGGTCTGTGATAGAGAGGAGCAGAAGGTCTGTTCCCAAGTGCCCGTGTACCATTGCAATCTGCTGCCTGATGCGCTCTCTGGCCGCCTTCTCCTCTGCCTTCTCTCTGTTCCTTTCCTCCAACATACGTTTGGTCATTTCTTCTTCCTGTCGTCTTTTGTACTCCAGCATTTCTTTGCCAGTTTTTCTCCTTTCAATTTCTTTCTTAATTTCTTTCTGAATAGAAAGATATAAAATTGGACCACAAAACTCCCTTGGACAAGAGAAAAGACTGAAGTACATCTGTCTCAGAAGGAATTTATTCAAATAAGGGTATAAAATACCCTGCAAGGGGTTTTACATTTTTGTGTTACCTGTTCTTCTTCTTTCCTTTTCTCTTCCTGCCTCTCTTCAAGCCTTTTCGTTAATCTAAATTTAAGAATAAAGCAAGAAGCCTTACTGCAGTATTTTAAGATGCTAAGGAAGCATCTGCAAACACAGAGCAGAACACATGGAAATGAACTGGAGCCCAGTGCTGATACCCCTGTAACAGTCACGATTCACCCACATGCGGTGCACCACCCACACGAAGACAGGTGGGGATTCACCACCTCCCTTCTGACTGTTAGTGGAATTACAACACATTCCCTTTGTCCTTTTCCCCTCAGGAAATGAAGAATCCCACACATTCTTGCTGTAGGACCAACTTACGGAGACGTACAATAAGCAATTACTGTTTAGGACCGGTGGTAACAAACACTAAATCTCAGACTCTTTTTAGCTATTTAAACCATCTGGTTTCTTCTGCACAAATCACTTCCTCAAATGGAACACAAGTAATGTAGCACTTACAGAGATGCACATGCCTCTGTCTCAGCTCTCCAGAAAGGTGCCTGAGAATAAGGAGTGACTTAAACCCCAGCAATTTGTCAATGCAGATTGACAATAAAAGCCCAACATAATTTTAGTCTGGGGAAAGGGCAGGCACAGTCAAACATGATAAGTCAGATAACCAGAAAAATCTTGTTTGTGTGGTACTGTTTTCTTAAAAAGAAAATGGTAGTTAGCACACAGCTTGGCCTCTTTTTCCCCCTTGAAACAATGCTGTGGATAAATTATGCCAGATTCATATAATGACTAATGGATTTTTTTAAAATGCAACATTGATATTTATATTAAAAATTATTTCATTGTCTTAACAGCATTATGTAAAAATTATCCCTGTTGTCCAATAACTTTGGAAGAAAACTGATATTAAGCAAGAAGTAGTTTTAAAACATATTTTAGCATTTAAGTATTATAATAAACATATTTAATTGTATAATTAAATAATTTTTAACATTTAAATGTTATATATTATAAATAATCTGATTTGCTAAATATGTGTAACTGGGTTTAGGCTGGATATTTCAAATAGTGTCAGCCTTACTTAAAACCAAGTTTATACACAAAATCCTGTATTTAAAAACAATCAGTGTAAGGAATGAACCATGTTTTGAACCAGATGTTTCTGATCACTATACTTCAAAATACTAAAAATAACTCATCACTGTTCACTGATCAAAGCAAAATAAGGGTATCAGAATAGGATTCC